GCCTCCGCCCGTCCAGACTCTCGCAGACCGCTGCACACCGTCCAGTCTCCGTCCGTCCAGACTCCCGCAGACCGCTGCACACCGTCCAGTCTCCGCCCGTCCAGACTCCCGCAGACCGCTGCAACCGTCCAGCCTCCGCCCGTCCAGACTCTCACAAACTGTGGTACCGTCCAGCCTCCGCCCGTCCAGACTCCCCCAGACCGCTGTACTGGCCAGATGGCTGACCGACGGCAGACGGGCTGCCGCTCTGACCACAGCCGGGAGCGTAATTTCACGTGGGGGAGGGGGGGGGGGGCTGTGATCTACCCAGCTAGCCGCCGCGCACGTGAGGGACGTAATCTCACGTCAGGGGGCCAGGACCTACCAAGCTAGCCGCCGCGCACGTGAGGGACGTAATCCCACGTCAGGGGGTCCCGCGGTCAACCCAACTGGCCGCCGCGCACGTGAGGGACGTAATCTCACGTGAGGGGGGAGGGGCCGTGATTTACCCAGCTAGCCGCCGCGCACGTGAGGGACGTAATCTCACGTGAGGGGGCCCCGTGATCTACCCAGCTGGCCGCCGCGCACGTGAGGGACGAAATCTCACGTGAGGGACCCCGTGATCTACCCAGCTGGCCGCCGCGCACATGAGGGACGCAGACGTCGAGCACGCACCCAGGGGAGAGAGCGGCAGCCCGACGTCGAGGCGCGGGGAACGCTCGCAGAACGTCGGACGTCGGGACAATCAGACGTGCTGACCGTGTCCGTCGCCGGCGGCCCGGCTGGCAGCGCCTGCGGTGCCATTCCACGGTCAGATTTCTCCGGAGCTCCGCGTCTGTTGGGCCATTCACAGAGTCCACGCGCGGCTTTGCTGACACGCGTGGGCCAGATTGGCTCAGCTCACGCAAGCTGTTCCACTGATCTAGAGCCGGACGATCATAAAATTACGGCAATTTGAATCATGCCATGAATTATTGGCATTCGAACAGGGTCATGACGGAAACCGCAGGCCTGTTTTATGACACGGTGGGCAATAAAACATTACAACTGGTCGGCGTGGCTGAAACAGGAGCTCTTAAAACGCGTATCGCATGCATGGATTGAGCATCGTGTCGTGCTGGTGTGCATGAATGAGACCAAGATAAACAGACAGAGGCGCAAGAAGTGGGATAAGACGTGAAATGTTCCGTTTTGCCATTCAGTTAGGCTTCTTTTATTATTAAGTGCCCATTTGCAGGAGACACTCACGAGACAAGGATTATAACTCGGGGCAATTCAGTCCAGCTTGACGGTCAAGTAGCGCCAAAACAATAGCGCAAGTAGCGCCAAAACAATAGCGCAAATAGCGCCAAAACAATAGCGCTCAGACATTCCTTCACTGCGCGAAACAGAGCCAGTGAAGTGAAGGTCTCTCAGCTCTCTGCGAGGAAAGTCTAACACCCCTGGTGTGGTCGGAGCCTGGATGCGGCGTCCGCCATCTTTTTCGTCGCATGCATTCCGGGGGGACGCGACCGACCGCCCGCCGTCCGCTGCCGCTGGGTGAAAGCTCCATCTTCAGATCCATGATAACGTGCGGCTAGGCCAGCTGCAGCCTCCCGAAGCAGCGCGGCGCCCATCCGCTGCCAGCAGTCCGTTGATGTTGCCGCTGCTGGCGAAGCCTCCATTAATAACCTGCAGCTGCAAGATGTCAGGGGCGTGACATACCACCGCGGGTTGGCGCAAGCTCTTGTAAGCTGCCCCGGCCACCAGGCCCGCCCAGCGGAGGATTTTGGCTGGAGGCTGGGAACCAGACGTTGTTTTGAAACGCTTCGCCGAAGCGATCCGGGCATTTTCTCGCCGTTTTCAACAATAACATTCAGTACAATATTAACAGTTGCAACAATATTACAACAATACCGACAGTTCGCAACCTGCCAGTTGTGTTTGTGTTATCGACTCGTGTGACCTGCGATTGTGTATTGTCTTGATGAGCCTTATCTGTTGTATGTTACTGTTGTTCAACATGAGATTTCTTGGTCACTTCCGTTTCCAACATTCGAGATGTATTTCAGACAAATGCGTAGTTATTTTGATGGGCCATGGCATTACGAACACCGACTGTCTTCGTCACAAACATATGCGCGGTTTCCAAATCGTGGTTCCTGGTTCTCACTGGCTCTTCACGATAATAACCACCAAACCCGGTTCCGGAATCCCAGCGGTCCTTTCGCAACCATCAGACCTTGGCTCCTAGCTCTCATCGATGGTTCTCGCGAACGCCCGACACTGGTTCCCGGCTCCCTTTGTTTTTTTCCACAAACACTGCAGAGCCTGCACTCTGGTTTCCATTGGTTCCTTGACAGTTGCAGCAGCATAAAAACAATTGGTGGATAACCCCTTGTTTCCCTCCTACAAATTTCACTCTGTGCACAACTTGATTTTCCGAAAATCAGTTATGACCTTCCATGGGGACTTAAAGTAAAAGGCAAAAGCTACCCAGCAGCTACCTAATATTCTGCAACAGATACTTTACTGCTAAATCTGCTCAAGCTCAACGTGAGGATAGACATTAGCACATGACACCAATGACAAGCAAAATGCTTGTGCATTTCGGTTTCCTTTATATCATAATACACCGGGTCTTGACGCTTGCTGGGTCCTTCGCACAGTCCCAGGTTGTTGCTGTATCTCTGGCCGTATTTCAGGCTAAATCTAGGTTCTTGTTAAATGCCTCAGAGCAATTGCATGCGGAGGTTTGGCTCTTGCTAAATCTCAGTGCATATCACGGACTGTTGTTGTCTTGATGAGGGATATACGACGCACTCGGCAGCTGAGACTAAATAGCGGCGCCCCCCCCCCCCCCTTTGCTAAACAGGTGCACACCTAGCTGATCCACTAGACCCTACTGCTTACAAAACATTGTGATTGGCATTCGTTGATTGGGACTTTGGACGCTGTAATGGAAGTGGCACGCATGCAAACTGCGAGCTCCCAAAAAGTTTGGAACAGAGCTTCGATATCAAGGAAAGCAAAGTGCATAATAGACGAGATGATATGCATAGTACAGTATGTTATATAAAGGGCATAATAGACGATAGACGTTTGGTTGATATCAACGGGTTCTTTAGTGCGCTATTGGTGCCCACTGCGCTCCGGTGTTCCCAGACGCACATACCTACTTCAAAACTTGAACAAACACTTATTGAAAAGAACGAACCTGGTTATTTGGAGTTGATAAGACTGATTAACTCTCTCACTATAAAAACGGGTAGATAATGTACCGCGCGCCGTTATTTCCAGGTGCTTAGAATTATCGAGCTTCCCACACCATGGGGTTCGGATTAGCGGTCATATGTCAAACGCCGCAAGGTCACAGCTTTCGTCACATTTCACGACAGAGCAGGTGCATGTAAGAAAACACGCTCTGGATGGGCGGGTCATTCGTCAATACATCACCACCTCACCACACGACTCGTTCTCACGACAGACACCATCTCTCATCATCTACGTGTGATAGCATCAGATCAGTTTTAAGCCAGGCGTCATCTCGTTCCGCTAGATATCGCCATCACGACCTGCGCTGATGAGGCTGGCCGGACGGGCTGCGCCACTGATGCTGGCTGGGCCGCCTGCGCCACTGAGGCTGGCCGGGCCGGCTGCGCCACTGAGGCTGGCCGGGTCGGCTGCGCCACTGAGGCTGGCTGGACAGCTGGGCCGCTGAATCGGGCCGGGCCGGCCGCGCCGCTGAGGCCTGGCCGCCGCCCGCCAGATCCTCAGCTGCAGCGCCAGGCAGGACGAACGGTCTCATTGTCTCCCTCGAGATCCGGAGGAGGACAGCGGTTTGCAAACCGGGCCGCGGCAGAGCTCAGTCGACTGCTGTCGTGCATCAGTTGGAGGCCGCACCGGCGTCCCACTCACCCCGAGGAGGCATATGACAGATAACATGGGGAGCCGGGGGGAATGCTCCTCCGTGAAAATATGACGTTTTTGACGGTGCGTGTCGTTATTTCTCCGTAATGTGCGTGCACCCTGCCACGCGCATGTTCGGTTGGCTTGTCTGGCGGCGGTTCCGACCGCACCCCTCCAACGTCACCACGTCAGCAGGAAGGCGGCTGCCTGGGGAGCGGCTCCCGGCGGCGCCCAGCCGTACACAGTCGGCGCCCGTGTGGCTCCACCTACCCTGCACTCAACACTTTCTGCCGACTTTCTCCGAGTCATCCGAAGGACAGCAGAGCCTGCCCAGAAACCGTCTTCATCCGTTAGAAGCGGACAATTCTGATTACACCATGGTATATTTGCATGTGCTATATTTTTATCGGGTTGCACTTTTCTCGCCTGCCGTCGCAACAAGCACCCATCCAATCAGCCCACTCGGAAGAAAGGCTGCAGCACGCACACGCAGCACACGATAACAAGACGGAGCACACAACGCACCAAATGCAAATGCCCTCGGTCAGTGGCAAGCAAGACTGTATCGCGCGCACACCACGGTAACACCAGTACAAAGACACCAACAAACCGGCGGAGACCGCTACACCGCCGCCTCGGCCGCCGAGCCTACACATCAGCCGACAGTCGGACTCGTCGTCACGTGCCGCACGTGACGTCACGCACACGCGACGCTTGTGGCACACGAGCGACTTGTGCCTTGTGAGCGGCGCATCAACAGATGGTACAAAATGGCGATCCTGCGCGGCCGGCCACCAGACGGCAACACGGGACGACCCGAGCCGAGGGGCAACGGCAACGGCCCGTGGGGCAACGGCAACACCCGACCCGTGCTCAGCCGACAGAGTCCGCCACTAACAGCTAAATCGTAACAAAAGTACATTGTTGAGAGCATCGCCAGCCACGGAGGAGATGCAGCCATGGTGCACCGCCAGAGGACGACGTGAATAAACGGAGGCAGCCGCTGCGCAGCCCCAGACCGACGGCCCAAAGTCGCGGGCGCGGCGACCAGGCGCCGTTGGTTGTCCCGGGCGCAGCGGCCGGACCGGCCGGTGCTTGGCGCCGCGGCCCGCCGCCTCGGGCATAGCGGTGAGCCCCGTGCGTCCCGCACGCACGCCGCCGCGGCCGTCGGGACCTGGTAAGCAGCCCTGGCCGACGCGGGCGGCGCACGGGCAGCACAAGGCACCGCGGCACCCCCGCCGGGACGGAGTGATAGGTGCTTCAGGCGACCGCGAGGAGGTCGGGCGCAGCGGGGGATCGTGGCCAAGCTCGATCATGACAGGGCGTACTGAACAGCGGGCGGTATGAGTGGCAGGCAGGGACACGACGGAAGTCGAGGTCATGTGCCAAAGAAACGAATTATGTCGCGCGAAATCAGCAGCATGGGATCCCAAAGAACACATCCTGGACGACGTTCATCAATAGGCGAGAATACAAGCGTGCGAAAACCAGGATCACCTCCAAAACCGGACCAGGCAGAGTGCACACAAAATCAGCCATTCAATGCGCAGGTTGGAGAGTAATAAAAGTGAAGCCGAGGACCTTCCGTAAGCAGTCCCAGAACGTGTCATCACAGAACTAGCGATCGGGTCGTGTCCGACCGAACCTCCAGAGACATCCCCTCCGACTGGTAACCCAGCCAGGGGCACGTGGTCGGCCGACCTCCTACGCTTCCCGTCCTCCGTCTGCTCTGACCAGCGACCGCGCACCTCTTCCTGCCGTTGCGGTACTGAGCGTGCCACCCTCTTACCCACACCGCACGTCCAGACCGGAGCGCGTCGGATGGCGTGTCGGGAGAGACGGGACGGCCGCCACACGCCGTCGGCAGCGACACGCGGCGCCGCGGGGTCGGCGGCGGCGGCGCGACCCTACACCCGGCTTTCCTCGTTGTTGTCGTCGGCGCCGGAGGAGCGGGGCCGAGCGCGCGGCTGCGGCTGCGGCGCCAGGCGCGGCAGCAGCTCGCGATCCTCGGTTCTCAGCGACTCCTCCGAGATGGGGCCCAGTGCCGCCTCGTCGGCCCCCAGCGCCGGCGAGCCTGACGACGGCGCCGACACGTAGCGCTGGCGCTGGCGCTCGAGCGCGCGCCGCCGCTGCGCCATCACCAGGTCGGCCACGCCCGGCATGTGCAGATGCGCCTCGCGCCCGCCGCCTGGGAGGCACAGCCGGCCGCACCGCCCGGTTAGTGGTCTGTGGGCCCGGCCGTCGCAGTCGCCGGCGGCGCCGGCCCGGCCAGGGCTCAGCGCAGAGCACAGATTGGACGGCCGGTGTTCAAACGGCTGAGACGAGGGGGGGGGGGGGGCAGGTAGCCTTAAGCTGACTGGCCGGGCTTCAAACGTCGCTGGCGAATGCGTCAGCGCTCGACACATGGACTGCTGAGAGCGGTTACGGCGTCTCTACACAGTGAGTAGTTTCTGCCACTACACCCTGCACGTTACAGCAACCCGTTCGTTCCTTGTCAACAGCTACAGACAGCGGCGCATATACACAAGGTCAGTAGTTCCTGGAATACAACGTCAGTCATCACGTGCAATATGACGCTACAGCACCAGGGCGGCGCCACTGTGTTCCGGCTCGCCGGCCGAGCGCCCAAAGATCTGTTTTCACGATTAATATGTTGCATTCCAGGCGTCACATCGATGACAGACGTAAGTCACGCCAAAGGAATATATCTCGAAGCGCGCTAAGAGCCGGAACACCATGGCGCCGCCCTTGGTCCAGCCAGTGCAGCCGAGCGAACGGCGGCGGCTGACCGACGCCACGACAGAACCCGACCACCACCGACCGACACCCCTCATGTGAGCGTATGTACACGTGCGGCCACACGAGGTGCGAACACACTCATGTCTCGTGGTTAGACATGGCACATCGTAGCGTGAAGTGCTGAAAACGGTCACAACACAGCGCTGGAGATAGTGCATGCTGAAATGTTAAACAGGGTGGACATGACAGCACGTGCCTGTAATTTGGAACACTTGCGATCAGTTCACGCTTCGGACGAGGCAAACGTGGTTAACAGAGCTGTGTAAGGAACGGTGATAACCAAAGGTCAGATGCTGGTATCATTCGGAATATGGGGTAAAAGAAAACAGGCTTTCACGTATCGGCAGAGGGATGGCACAGTTGGATGACCTTTTGGTCGCCGCTTATTTGAGGCAAGATCGTCGCCCGCATTTCGTGCGACGGATCAACCGGATGCACCATGTTCGCTTCATCGGCCCACCCATGAACAATTCCCAAATCCTGTGCCTGTATGACGGAAGCAGAAAAAGGTCCTAGTCATCCCACCACGTTGTGCATTACACATGCACGCCACACCTCCCACCACCACCAAGCGGAGTGCCGAACACAGCCGGGGAAGGGGGATGTCATGCGAAAGGACCACTGACACTGGGCCGAAGGATGACGCTCAAAACTCAGAGTTACCCGATCCCCTTCCCACGCTCCGCTTCATTCCGTAACAGCGTCGCGCTGAAGAACTTTTATAACATACTGGAATAGTTGGGTCAGAATTTCAATTACCTCACTTTAGCCTCATCGTAAAAATTGCACACTGGAGACGCTCTTCGAGCTAGATATTCGTCAACACTTAGTGGTGATTGCAATGTCAAGCATGTCCTTCGATCAAGTCTCCATCGAAGCTTATTCCGTCTTAAAGCTTCGTCAAAACCCGACACACGATCCAGGAGACTAGCACCAAAATCAAGCGTGGCAATGATAGGATTTCAACAGCCAAGCCCGCATTAGCTTACGAGGCAGGCCGACTGCGGCCCTGAAACAGTCCGACGGCCGCAGCGTGTCTCCTGAACGGCACAGCTCGGAGCGCATGCGCCGCCGGCACCGGAGCGAGGGTCTCCTCGCCGTCAGCCTCGTTAATGATCCAGCCTCGACCAACCGACAGCGGGCAGCGTCCATCGGTCGGCGGCCAGTGCCAGCGGACGTCACACACGCGGTCCAGGGCCCGACACCACCCCAGGCGCAGGCACCCGCCACCAAGAAGGCGGTGATGAGGCGTGCGGGGCGGCCACGGGGCCCGGCAGTCGGCCACTGTCGCCGCCGGCGGTGCGGTGCACGGCGTCACTCCCGTTGACGGCGCAGTCCCACCCTGCGGGACGTCCGGAGGCGGCACTGGCGGCGCGGTCCCACCCTGCGGGAAGTCTGGAGGCGGCGGCGGCGGCCGGGGTGGCGGCGGAGGCGGTGGCGGAGGCGGCGGCGGCGGCGGCGGTGGTGACGGCTGACGCCCGCCCGCGGCTGCCGGGTCGAGCGAATGCAGACGGAAGAGCGAGGCCCGGCGCACACCGCTCGCGGCCCGAGAGACGCCGTGGCGCGTGCACTACCGGCGGGCCGGACGGTCAGGCGGCGCCGCGGACCGCCGCGGCAGGGAACACAACGGCACGGCACGGCACGCTGGGGGGCAGGCGAGCGGACCACCAGCAGACGGCGAGGCATCAACCAAACCATCGCTCAGAGAAAGAGGGAGAGAGAGAGCGCGCGCGTGCCAGGGAGAGAGAGAGAGGGGGGGGAAGAGAGAGAGGGAGAGAGAGAGAGGGGAAAAGAGAGGGAGAGAGAGAGGGGAAAAGAGAGGGAGAGAGAGAGAGAGAGAGAGAGAGAGAGAGAGAGAGAGAGAGAGCGAGAGAGCGAGAGAGCGAGAGAGCGAGAGAGCGAGAGAGCGAGAGAGCGAGAGAGCGAGAGAGCGAGAGAGCGAGAGAGCGAGAGAGCGAGAGAGCGAGAGAGCGAGAGAGCGAGAGAGCGAGAGAGCGAGAGAGCGAGAGAGCGAGAGAGCGAGAGAGCGAGAGAGCGAGAGAGCGAGAGAGCGAGAGAGCGAGAGAGCGAGAGAGCGAGAGAGCGAGAGAGCGAGAGAGCGAGAGAGCGAGAGAGCGAGAGAGCGAGCGAGAGCGAGAGCGAGAGCGAGAGCGAGAGCGAGAGCGAGAGCGAGAGCGAGAGCGAGAGCGAGAGCGAGAGCGAGAGCGAGAGCGAGAGCGAGAGCGAGAGCGAGAGCGAGAGCGAGAGCGAGAGCGAGAGCGAGAGCGAGAGCGAGAGCGAGAGCGAGAGCGAGAGCGAGAGCGAGAGAGAGAGAGAGAGAGAGAGAGAGAGAGAGAGAGAGAGAGAGAGAGAGAGAGAGAGAGAGAGAGAGAGAGAGAGAGAGAGAGAGAGAGAGAGAAGAGGAGAGAGAGAGAGAGAGAGAGAGAGAGAGAGAGAGAGAGAGAGAGAGAGAGAGAGAGAGAGAGAGAGAGAGAGAGAGAGAGAGAGAGAGAGAGAGAAGAGAGAGAGAGAGAGAGAGAGAGAGAGAGAGAGAGAGAGAGAGAGAGAGAGAGAGAGAGAGAGAGAGAGAGAGAGAGAGAGAGAGAGAGAGAGAGAGAGAGAAGAGAGAGAGAGAGAGAGAGAGAGAGAGAGAGAGAGAGAGAGAGAGAGAGAGAGAGAGAGAGAGAGAGAGAGAGAGAGAGAGAGAGAGAGGGACAAGGGACAAAGGTCGCCGCTTTCTGGCGCGCGTCAACGCTGTTGTCTCATAGCACTCAAACGCATTGTGGGACAGTTGAAGGCTGCGGTTCTGAAAGCGAAGGTATCGGGCGGCAAAATGCAGTCTTACGGGTGCCAACAGTCGCAAAATGGCACCAGTTGGCTTGCTGAGGGCTGGGATGGCTAGACGGAGGGAAGCGTCAGGGAAGTGATCCCATCCGAGTACATGGACACGTGATACTTGGATATGAGGGGAAGAGCTTTATCCCACATGACTGCTGGGGGTGGTGGGCAACGGACTTGCTATACCAAACGAATTGCACCCCCTTGGAGGCGAAAACGAGGAAGACGTAAACCAACATATCAAACGGTTCCACCGTTGCACGACAAACGGCGTCATCAAAACGCGAGCAAGCTTCTGGAGGAATGCCGCGGGGCAGAGCCCAGCTGTGATGCGAAGGAGCAGGACAAAATCTGAGCGGTCCGGTGCGCCCTCCAGGAGAGCGGTCCCGCGCAGACGGGCACAGGCGGAGCCGGGAGAGCTTTACGCACGCGTGCGAACATGCAGTTTATCACTCTGCTTTATCGCTCGCAGGCAGCTGTTCGGGAGGCGAGCAGGCAGCATTCAGCCCCGACCGCAGACGCGCCGCTCCCTGGACACACTCGCTGAACAGCCACGGCGTGTTACGCTGGACCGCGCCACATCCCCCCGGCCTGGGGATCAGCCATAGCGACGGCGCAGCGCACCGCACAGCGGCCGCGGCGCCGGCGGCCGGCAGCGGCACCAGCGCCGCCTGCCGGCCGCCGGCGGCACCGCCACCAGGTGGGGCGGGCGTCGCCGGCGGAGCGCGACACACTGGACGGTCAGGTCACCACGGTAGGCGTCCCTTGGCACAGCACGAGTCAGACCATCAGCACACGCTTTCTCTGCATACCGGGGCGTGAAGACCTAAGGCCGTGGACGGGGACCCTCAAAAGAGGGGTTTTCATGGAAGTGTCCATTTCTGACTCAGACAACTAATGCTAATGTATACACACACGAGCCTACCTAAAAGCGCGACACTATTATATATGCTACAAGCTGATTACAACAAACTATGCAGAGCTTATGTAGCCTCACTGTGCCTCACACATAGCTACACCTTAAACACAGTAAGAATCATCTGAAAATCACAAGCAGTATCCAGGCACCATCTAAGTTTAAGGAAACAAAATGCACTACCATGCCTAGCCATGAACCATCCCAAAAAATCAAAATATTCCACGAAACAACCCAAAAACCGGCTGTGACCACAAAACGTGAAATGGGACGATCACACGCTATCTATAAAGATCACATCATGTAAATACCATCACGTGATTGTACGCAATAAGCCTCACAAATGATATCACGCGCAATCCAGAAGATTGCACGCAATAAGCCTCGAAAATACATCGATCATAATCCATGTTGGTTTAGAGTATGTTGATAGCCTCTACAGTTTACAGCAAAACGTACTTAATAGCACACATTTGAGTAGGCTCTAGTTTAAGCCCGTTCAAGAGATAGCATGTAAATAATATAAAAAAACACCGGAAACACATTTCTACAGGCCAGCTCGCCGACTATACGATAATAATGCATTTGAATAGCCTCTTAAGTGTCGGTCTTGAAAATGAATACAACACAGCACACACAGACAGCGCTGTGGCACCAAACCTAAACCCCTCGTCCAGAACTAAAAACTAAGCCCCAGAACGGAGAAATAATTATAGCAGAACCCAACACCCGCTAGCTTACCACGCACCAGAGCCCACGCATCGCACGGGAAAGAAAACAACACGGACGAAGGGGCAATGAGACACGGCCAACGTCGCTCCTAGGATAGGACAGATCACTGCCGTCACTGCTGCTCCTCTTGTAGCGATGGCGATGACAATTGCGGTGCTGACGACGGCGGCGAGTGGTGCTGCAGCTCCTGCTGCGGCACCTGCGACTCCTGCTCCGCCTGCCGCGGCAGCTGCTCCTGCTCCGGCTGCTGCTCCGGCTGCTGCGGCGGCAGGCCGGTCAGCCAGCCGCTGGCGCGCCGCCCCAGGCAATAGCGACACAGCTGGCGCGGCACGGGCCGCTCCACCACCACGCCCAGCAGCCGGACGGCGCACGGCCGGCAGAGCGCCCGCCGCGAGCCGTCCAGCGGGCGACGGCCGCGCGCCAGCGAGCGCTGCGACGAACGCGCCGACGAGCACACGGACGAGCGGCTGGTTGAGTGCACCGAGCTGACGCCGTTGCGCTCCGGCACCGCGTCCAGGTCGAGGCTGCGCTGCGCCGGCAGCAGCGGCCGGCGCGGCGGCGCCGGCGCCGGCCCAGACAGGCGGCGGTGGAGCGCCTGGTGCGCCGGCGGCGGCGGCCGCCGCGGCGGCACACCGCGCCGCAGGAACCCGACGCCGGGTGAGTCGTAGGCGGGCGGGGGCGGCCCGGACGGCGGCGGCACGGACGGCGGCGGCACGGATGGCGGCGGCACGGACGGCGGCGGCGCGGCCGGCTCGGCGGCGGCTGGGGCCTGGTCGGCCGCCGCCGGCGGGCCACCATCGGCCGGGGCCACCATCACACTGAAAGCAGGCGGCATCTCCGGCGCGGTGGCGGCGGCGGCCGAGCCGGCGTCGGCCGGCGCATCGCCGTCCCCGCTGGAGATGTTCGTGCTGGAAAAGATGACGGGCATGGTGGCGGGCCAGGCGAGCCGGGCGTGGCGCGCGGCGCCGCTGCGGCGCCGCCGGCCGGCGCACACGCTGAACGAGCGGGGCCGGACCGGCGTCGCCGCCGGCGGACGGCACCACGATCTACCTGAGACGGTGCGTCGCAGCTCGCGGTCCTTGCTCTGGTCCGCCTGCTTGGCGGCCACCACCTGTGCCAGCTGGCTGAAGCGTTGCGCGTTGGCGCGGCGCCGCCGCAGGTGCGTCTCCATCTCCTGGTCCTCCTCGTCGATCAGGTTCGGGTTGTAGCGGAAGTGCAGCTGCGGGCGGGGCATGGGGAGGGGGCGGGGTCAGAGGAGCGCACCGCGGCGGCGTCGGTGCGAGTCGTTACGGGGTGGGGCGGCCAGCTCGCGGCGGCTGGAGCGGCCGACACACGACTTCGACGTCGCGGACATCGCGACCGGCCGCCACGGGAAAATACACCCGATGGAATAATCGTTGGCACTGTTGTCCTTGTCACTGGCGCTATTCCTCAGATAACGTTTCGGATGATACATATGCACCTGTCGCTCTGGGTTCGTAGGTTCTGATACAGCCAGGGGGTGTTCGATGTATGGCCATGTATGTATCACACCCTCGAAGGCACTCGGCGCCCTCGAGCTCTGAACCCACGACCTCGTGATTCGAAGACCGAGACTGTCACCGCTTTAGTACTTACGGATGAATTGCAGACCACTCGATGAGAAGTGGTCCAACTTGATACTGTACTGGCTAGTCTCTGTGCCTCACCACAAGGTCGTGGGTTCAAATCTCGGAGTCGTCGCATGCTTTCCAGGCCGCTATACATGCATGACTATACGCTGTACGTCTCACGGTCCTGAACAAGACTGACGGCACTTCACACATGAAGACGGCCTGAGAGGTGACCAGCCGAAACGTTCCGTGGGTAATGGCGCCACCGGCGACGGCAACGGTCCAAAAAATCACTCCATCCGTACAAACAAGCCCGAAGCACTCATTAATACACATCAAGAAATACATTTTCGCTGGCACCACGCTGCGTCTAGAGACGGCACTGGACGAGAGTGCTGGCGGCACGTGCTGACAGCAGAGGAGGCTGCGGCTCGAGGCTATGGGAAGGCACAACAGGAGCAGCCGCGCCGCCCTATCGACTGAGACAGCCAAGCGGAGCAGGCGCGAGGTGTAGAATGGCCAGCTCTTGCGTTCTCGGTCGGAAGGAGAGAATGAGACACCACAGATCTTGCATGACACCACGAAGCATCGCTACCGCTCGATATAATTTTGTTCCGCGAAAATATTGAAAGCATGCGTGACGCAAGAACTTTGCGTCCACAGGGTTTAGCTTCACCAGACTCATCCCCAAAAATGAGAGAACGTCTGCCATCATGGCGGGATGATGCTTTCTCCACCTTTTGCGACGAAATCGATACTATTCACATTCCATAAAGAAAAGTTCTCTGGACCCCTCCAGATCCGCAGGCATCATACAAACTTCTGCCGATCTTCTTCAGGGAGGTATTCAGGAGCACAGGCCATGATGCACAGGAGATGTAAACACATTATCAGGAAGAGTTATGAATAGAGAATGTACAAAATCCCAACACCCAGTGTGGTACGCGCTCCAAAGACGACAACTCCGATCGGTACATGCATTTTTGTCGGGGCGACGACGTCCTCGTATGCCCAGTAAAGCAAATGTTGAGTTGAGTGGAACACGTTCGCCTGCACCAGCCAACCGGCACGCAGGCGGGCCTCCAGCCGCATGGTCCGCAGACGGTACGAGGTGCACCTGGACCCGCAAGAACAAGCAAAGGTGGCTGCAGCCTCGAGGAGTAGCCCGAACTGTGCAACGACCACAGAAAGCCAGATGTATCACATGACATTGAACGCTGCCGTGCACTCGCCGCCGTGTCCTGACCGTGTGTTTCCCAGGGCGCGGCGCCCTTCCGTTTACCTTCATCCGCCTCTGCAGCAAAGCACACGGGTCCTGTTGTTAGGGTCAGCATCTCCACGCCCGCCATCTCCGCTGGCACCCCTTAGCAGCCCCCGCCAGGCCCAGCCGCACGACAAAACCCCGCACCTGGCGGGACCCGTCCCGGCGCCGTGACTGCAACACTTCCAGCGACGTTCCCCACCGGCGCCCGCCCCGCTCCCCCGCGTCTTCCCCCCCCCCTACTACTGCCACTCCCAGCAGCGGTGCGGCCGGCCGCACCTTGTTGTAGGGGATGTTCCTGAAGGCCTTGCGCAGCATCGCGCCGTCGTGCGGGTATGTCCGGTAGTTGTCCTCGGGGTTGAAGGAGGGCGTGGTGGGCGAGGTGGGCTCGGTGATGGAGCCGAGCGCGGTGCCGCCCTCCGAGTCCCTGGCGGAGGAGCCGGTGCCGGCGCCGTCAGACGGCTCCGACGGCAGCGGCCCACGCACACCGCCCAGCCAGGCACACGGCCCTGGCAGAGGCAACACAGCCCGACAATGGGCCGCCTCCCGAGCGTAGGCGGCCATCCAGAGTCCGACTGGCGACAAGGCGGGCTGCTCGCACAGCAGCTCGATTGTCGGCAGCCTGCCATCGGGGTCATGGCACCGTGTCGTTGTACGAGCAACGGAGCAGCGCAGCTGACCAACTCCGGCTGCCATGCGGACGAGTTGCGGGCACACAGCCGCGGCGGAGCACGGCACGACGGCGAGGAAAACACAGGCATTCAGGGAAACACGGCGACGCTAGCACCGCTGTGTGGCGTCCCACATGGGGTGGACACTTTTCTGCAACAGAGGACTGTATCCTGTGACGCAAGAGCCAGTTGACGCGACACCCACTGGGGTCGCGTGGCGTAACACCCAGGTGGGGGCACATGGCGTAACACCCGTGTGGGTCGCATGGCGTGACACTCACGGGGACGCGGCAAAGTCATGCGGACCGCCTCGCGCCAGACGCATTTGGGCCACATGGCACGACACTTACGCGGTACGCGGCGTGACTGACGTGGATGAGAAGCGCCGCGTGAACCGGTCGCGCAGTGAGCCGACCCTGCTGAGCGGGTGCGGGAAGCCTCGCAGCGAGTCCCGTCGCATCGACTCGCGCAGCACCTTGGAGCGCCGCTTCAGGTGCAGCAGATCCTCCTCCGGCAGGAAGAAGTCCGCCTGTCCACACGTCACGCGGCGTGAATGGGCCACACGGGGACTGGCGTGAGCGGTAGCTGACGGTGTGAACAGGGGGCCCAAGATGTGGACAGGGCACTGACATTGTGAACAGGTGCTGGCGGTGGGAACAGGGATTGGCGGTGTGGACAGGCGGCTGACGGTGTCAACAAAAGTGTCAGCAGACGGCTGACGCATGAACAGGGGGCTGACGGAACAGACAGGGAGCTGACGGTGTGAACGGCGGCTGATGGTGTGGACAGGGGGTTGACGGTGGGAACAGATGCTGTTGGTGAGGACAGGGGGCTGACGGTGTGAACTGCTGCTGACGGTGTCGACAGCTGCTGACGTATGAATAGGGGGCTGACGGTGTGAACAGGGAGCTGACGGTGTGACCAGGGGGCTGACGGTGTGGACCAGCTGCAGTACACTGGCGGTCGTCGGCCCCACCGCCGTCCGCCGTAAGCACCCCTCATCGCTGAGGTCACAGAGCAAGAACAGCCCTCCTAACCGCGCGCACCAGTAGCGTCCACAAACCCTATTGACCGGTTTGCTTGAGCGCGCCCGGCGACGGCGTCCGACACGTCGTCGCCCGACGCCGGCGGGGGCTGCTCTGCTGCTCTTCACTCCCCGCCGGGAGCGACGCCCACGCACCTCGTGCTGCACGATGTCCGCCATGCCGCCCTTCTCCGTCTCGACGGCGGCGGCCGGGCCGTACAGGTTGGCGAAGTGTTCGTCTAGCACCAGCTTGTCGTAGAGCCGCGCCAGTGATGAGTCGAGCGAGTCGCTGATGAGCAGCGGCTTCAGGTACTTCTCGTCGAACCACTCCAGCCGTTCCTGGTGACGGCGGGTGACACTTGGTCAGAGGTCAGAGGCCGGGTCAGCGCTCGGCCAGAGGTCACCGGCTGGTCAGCGCCAGGTCAGAGGTTCAGAGGTGACAGGCCAGGTCAGCGGCCGGTGGCGGCCGCTCGCCAAGTGAGGCGCCCGCAAACGGGGAGGTCGTAAGGGGAGGTCAAGCAACAGATCTGCGCCGGCGAGGTGGCGGGACGGGTGGCGGCCAGAGGCCCGCCTGTGACGACGCCCGCGGATGCGTCTCGGGGGAGGGAGGGGGGGGGGGGGGGAGAGCGACCGCAAAGACCCCACGAGCCGTGCGAGCCAACACGGACGTCCATGCATTGCTGAGTAGCTCAGGGAAGTCAAACACGTCATCCGACCACCAGAACAATTCGGCGACGGTCCCGCACGGATGAACCACGCTCGGCACCCGACCGCAGGACGTCCCCAGAGCGTCCTGGCAGGGGACGCCCAGGGCACTGGGGGCGTCTGGGGCCCGTCCGCATGACAGGAGGCGGGCCTCCTGCCATGCGGGCCACTGCCGGCCGGCGGCGCAGCGCACCTTGAAGAAGTTGGAGCCGCGGTAGCCGATGATCTCTTCGACGCCGGCCGTGATGTGGTCGACGGTGGTGGCGGCGATCTCCTCGGTCAACGTCGGGTCCTCAGTCTCCTCCAGCTTGATGTTGAACAGGCCCACCAGCAGCTTGATGGTCGAGCCCTGCGGAGGCGCGGCACGACCTCAGCACCGGAAGCATCAGAGCTACGACGCTCTACCAGTGGCCGGAGGCGCGGCGCGATCTCAGCACCGGAAGCATCTGAGCTACAACGCTCTACCAGTGACAGACAAGTCGAATGCAAGTGAGACTTGTTGACTGCGGGCATTTTGGACGAGCCAGCACTAATTCACGGTCGTCCCGTGTCGCATACAGTCACTGTGGCTCAGCGCTTACCAGCCTTCGTCGCAGCCGGTGCAGTTCGTCAGCACAACAAAGAACACAAAGCCGCGAGCTAGGAGAGCGCGGCCCGAGGAGACACCCGGCAGCAGCTCCACGCACCTGTACGAACACGGTGAACAGGACGATGAAGAGCGTGGTGGTGACGAAGATGCGGACGGTGGTTTCGTCGATGGCCGAGCCACGCAGCATGACCACCAGCGAGAAGCCGACGGCGCCCCGCAAGCCTCCGTACGCCATGATGAACTGCTCCTTCCGACCGATGCGCCTCAGCCGGCGGAAGTTGGCCAGCCAGCTGAGCAAGTACACACCTAGGGGTGGGCGGCAGTGCTCAATGACAGCCGCGGGGCGGGCCGCAGCGGCCCCGCGGACTGGACTGGCCGGGTCAGTTACAGGCTTGCGGGATGCGCAGAAGCATAACATTAACTATCCCCAACAATGGTGTGGGAGAGATCCCAAAGATGCGACTTGTTTAAAACGAATATCCGGGACTTTTGCTTTAGCTTGCGCTTTTGTTTGATTCTGCCGTTGATTATCCTCTAAATTTGGATGTAACCAACGTGTGAATTCAGTCATGCAAAGCTGACAGCTGAAGGCATATTACTATTGATGGTGTAAATGATAAGACTGAAAATGCATTCACAGCTGAAATCCTGGCTCCGATATGTCGCACATCCCTAATCTGCTATGCCAAACCAGGGATGTCCCTGTCATCCAACTGATTTAAGTCCCCCACAGCTGAAAGCTGAGCTCGTCGTATGAGGTCGGGCTCAGTTCGTCGGTTCATTTGCAGACATGCCGTTCATTGCCTCGGTCGACATCGGCTTCCAGGGCAGCTTCATAACGGAAGGTTGTCTGCCTGGTGTGAAACACTACCGCAGGCGGGACCAAACACAGCCCGAGATAATGCCCAGTGAGTCGCATGCTCCTAACCCCACGCGCTCCGTTCCCTATTGACGAGCCGTACTATACTCCACGCCCATTTCGTGAGTTTTCACTGGGCCACAAGTCCACACGGGTGAAGGGGCGGGTCGAAGCCGGCTATGACGGTGCCGTTCGGTGGGCCGCAGACCGCCAGCAGGGTGGCGAGCGGTGGCTGGACGGCTGGCTGCATGCTGCTGGCGGACCTACCGATGAACCGCACCACCAGGCACAGCACCAGCGTCCACAGCGAGAAGCCAGTGTGCCAGTGGTGATCCTTGCTGACCAGCACCATCCCCAGGAACATGAAGATGATGGTGTCGCTGGTGGAGCTGCCGGCGGAGAGTCGAAGCAGCGCTCAGACCAGGCGAGGCCGGGCCGCCGCACAGGCAGCAGGCCGGGGACCGTTGCTGAGCTCGACTAAACCTCCTCTCCTCCGCGCTCCGGTGGCCACGTTTCCGCAGTGACGTCACGAACGAGGTGCGGCGCCGCGAAACAACAGTAAGATGGTGCCGCACACGATCAGTGTCTGCCTCCTGACAGTGGGGTTGATTTTGGGCGGGCTCAGTGATTTTGTAACTTTTAAACTCTTCTATTATTCACAGCTTTTTTAAAACAAGTCTCATGTAACAGCGCTTGGGATATCAAGCACCCGGAGATACGTAGAAGGAAAGCAGGACGCCTTGGTTTATTGAAACCACAAACACTCGGGTGAGGTTACTATTTGTGTGAGAAGCCACCGGCCTCACCTGGCCATGGTAACGAAGTACTTGATGGTGATGTAGGAGTTTTTGGAGATGTTCTTCATGGCGTAGTGCGCCTGCACCACTCCACAGCCGACGGTGGCGATGATGCCGGAGAAGTGGACCAGCTCGGCTGACAGGTAGGCCAGGTACGCCATGGCCAGCAGCGAGAGCGGCTCCACCACTGTCGGCCAGCGCGCGGCGGAGCGTCAGGCGGCGCCACCGGCACACGAGCACACCCCAGCGGCCTCGCAGGCGGCACTGATGCGCGCCACGACAGAGCTCGTCGCCATCGGATCGTCTTGTTCCCGCCGCATTAGTGTTATCCGTGCCGCGCGACACAACATGGCAGGAGTGGCATACGTTTAAGGCCGTTTGTTCGGCGCCGTGGACAAAGCCACATTGCCACATGCACTTCATGCCACATGCACTTCATGCCACATTTACCTCCCCTGTATTCCCCTGATACCTAGGTGGTCGCCAACAGCTAAAGCTGTTCTCTTCGATGACGCAAATGTCTTCCCAGCACTCAGCTGAGCGTAAGCGCTTCGTCCGACATCATGCAACGTGCAGAGCGACGCGGGTGCGTCTCGGCCAGACAGAAACCCCAGCGCAGGCTCGGTTTCCACTCCACTGATCCGTGGCCGCGGGACCGACGCCAGCCAGCGCGTGCGTCGGCCGTGGGGCCGAGGCCGGGCCGTCGGGCGGCGCTCACCCCTGACGTCGGGAGTGTACTTGGTGATGACGGCCGTGAGCACGCCGAAGATGATGCCGATGGCCAGGCCGCCCAGCGACACGCAGAAGAAGGCGGCCACGGCCAGCAGGATCTGGTCGTAGGCGATGTCCTCGCCCTCCATGCCCGTGAAGGCCACCATGGCGTTGTAGAGAACCACCGTGACGGCGTCTGCGGCAAGGAACGGTCGCACACCAGCTCGTTAGCCCCGCGCTCTCTGCATGGGGTCTGGCGGTCACAAACGCAAGACTGGTATTCGAGCGCTCTCTACACGGATGCCTGGGCTAACATCAGACCACACGCCTGACCAAACTGACGCTGCTCAACGGATGGGCTTTCACGGTCGGAGCGCGAGGGTCGCTGCTGATCAGGAGGATCGCGGACAGCATGTGCTCCATGATAAATACCTCAGGCGCTCTGAGCGTGGCAGTACGTAACTATCTGCAACGGTGCATGACCCGAAACGCAACATAGTGCATGATCCGTAAAAGTGCATGATCTGTAACGATGCATGATCCGTAAAAAAATGCCCGCAACTAAGAAATCGAGGCAGACCCGTAAAGAGCTAGGATGAAAGCATGCGATGTTCCACGCGCCTGGATCGCACTCCAACATTTTGAGCGCAACATTTTGAGTCATGCTCGAGCCGACCCAACCAAATCCCTGTCGCGACGTCCTGTACGCGACCCAGCCGCCAACGATACAGAGGACGTCGGCCGATCGGCCACACAGAAAGCCACCGACCGGAGAAAGCACCATCCGACGGGGCACGGCAGATAGCAGGCGTCTGGCAGCCGGGGATGGGCCCGGGACCGGCTCGCAATAGCATCCTGCACGACACTATCCTGCACGTGCCAACGCACAGCACTGCGGCTCCAGAGCCGCGTCCATTGCCAACAGCGCCACAGTAATGTCTGGTACAGGCAATCTTCGCCAAGTTAACATCCAGTCAGCAAAAAACCGTCTCCATCTTAAAATAATGAAGTTGAAAATGATAAGACGTATAGTAACATAAATAAATAAATAATATAAAACAAATCCTAAAAAATCATCACAATAAATACGTTCTAAATAATTGAAATAACCTACCATAATTCTAATCTGCCGTCCAAAGCCACAAAGGCCTGAGCGTCACTAGGTAAGATACCACTTAGCCTTTTTGTCTTCGGACGCCAGTAATGCTACCTGTAGATAATGCACCGTTTTTACAACATCGCTATTCGCTTTTTAAGGGCAGGGGATTCGCCTGTTTTTTTTTTCAAGGAAAGCCACGCACATCGTCGCACAGCATTTTGAGAAGTGTCAGCGATTGCAGAGGTAATATTAGCCCTCAGGGGTCATGACGCAGTCGGGGTTCGAACCCAGGTTGCGAACCCAGGCCCTCGCGTGGTAGCCAAAGACGCCAACCACTCGGCCCTTACGCCCCATCTTCGCTTTGCCACGTGCTTGTTTCCTGGACTGCCCGTCAAACCACACCTAAATCAAATCATCGTAATCGGAAACGCTTCAAAAGCGGTCACTCGCCGATACGCAGCACCACGGGACGGGGATACAGGACTGACCGGCCGAGAAGCCGGGCTAGAGCCCCCCCCCCCCCCCCGCAGGAGGCGAGAGGACGGCGGTACGAGCGCCGACATCCACCCTCCCCGACCACTGACAGTTCAGCAGACTCTCCCCGACCACTGACAGTTCAGCAGACTCTCCCCGACCACTGACAGTTCAGCAGGACTCTCCCCGACCACTGACAGTCCAGCAGACTCTCCCCGACCACTGACAGTTCAGCAGACTCTCCCCGACACTGACAGTTCAGCAGACTGTCCCCCGACCACTGACAGTCAGCAGACTCTCCCCGACCACTGACAGTTTCAGCAGAATCTCCCCGACCACTGCCAGTTCAGCAGGACTCTCCCCGACGACCACTGACAGTTCCAGCCGACTCTCCCCGGACCACTGCCAGATTCAGCAGACCTCTCCCCCGACCACCTGAACAGTTCAGCAGGACTCTCCCCGACCACTGACAGTTCAGCAGACTCTCCCCGACCACTGACAGTTCAGCCGGACTCTCCCCGACCACTGACCGTTCAGCAGACTCTCACCGAACGTTGACCGTCGGAAGACTCTCCCCGAACATTGACCGTTCAGCGGACTCTCCCCGACCACCGGCCGTTCAGCAGACTCTCCCTGACGATTGACCGTTCAGGAGACTCTCCCCGAACATTGACCGTTCGGCAGACTCTCCTCGAACATTGACCGTTCAGCAGACTCTCCCCGACGACTGACCGTTCAGGAGACTCTCCCCGAACATTGACCGTTCGGCAGACTCTCCCCAGCCACTGACCGTTCGGCAGACTCTCCCCGAACATTGACCATTCAGCAAAGTCCCCGCGAACACTGACCGTTCAGCACTCTCCCCGACGATTGGCCGTTCAGGAGACTCTCCCCGAACATTGGCCGTTCGGCAGACTCTCCCCGAACATTGACCGTTCAGCAAAGTCCCCGCGAACACTGACCGTTCAGCACTCTCCTCGACGACTGACCGTTCAGGAGACTCTCCCCAACCACTGACCGTTCAGCAGACTCTCCCCGAACACTGACCGTTTAGCAGACTCTCCCCGAACACGAGGAAGTAGAGGTCCTTGTTGACGCCGACCTCCTGGAAGATGGCCAGCACGGCCACAGGATCCACCGCCACGATCAGCGACGAGAAGGTCAGCATCTGCACCAAACTGCGGCACAGAGACACGGTGTCAGCATCTGCACCGAACTGCGGCACAGAGACCTGGTGTCAGCGTCTGCACCGAACTGGGTCGCCGAGAAAAGGCGTCATCCGACGGAATGTACTGAACTATATATAATCATCTTGAAGCAGCACGGTTAAGTACGTGGTCGACTGGAAAATGCACGCAAAAAGGTGAAGCAGTTGCGCAAACCACAAGAGCAGAGAAATTATATTTTAGCCGCAAGTCTAAACAGCATTGCGCGAGTCAGGCAATACATGATATCCTGTAGATACGGCCAGTCTCCAATCTGTAGTGTTGTGAATGTCACTGCGCAGCCGAAGAGGCAGATCTGCCTCGAACCCCAACCCCGATCGGGACCCGTTTGCCGTGACTGTCAAAGCCGGGAATCTACTAAACGACGGCGACGCACCAACGGAGCGGTCAGGTGCGAACCTGATGTCACGTGACGCCCCTGATCCGCGTCTGGTCAGTTCACTGGTCCAATGAATCACACGGCACATCCGCCAGCAGGAGGCGTAACAGGCCACAACGGCCTGATCATCGCCGATACAACGTGTGAGCTGGCATTGGTGTGTCCGCCAGACCGCGCCTCAAGACGGCGAAAGAAAGCATAAGTTTTACCTGATAAGGGCTTTAAGAGTTCTTGTGTCAGGTTCTTGACCTTCCATATACCAGGAGGGACTCGTTAAACAATGTTAAAATGCAAGCTTTAATTATATTGACACTACTCGACGTTTCAAGCTGTTCTCATGATCAGGAGCAGGTGACTCGGTGATCACAAACAGAGCTTGAAACGCCGAGCGGTCAATGCAACCAATGATTGCACTATAAAGTCGTTTCGTCAGGACCCCACCACACACTGAAGGCCGTCTTTAACTCGGCGTTAAATACCTGAACTACAAATGCCGAAGAAAAGAGGAGCTGAAGCCGTTCTTTCGTACATCAAGCACAACGTTCACGGCTGCTCGGCCGGATGTTTAATTGATTATTCAGCTTTGGGTGCGGCACTCGAAGCCCAGCTGCCATGGAGATTCGCTGTTCAATCAGTCCCTATCGTCCCTCAGTATATCCGCTCCCCTCCTCCTCCTCCTGGTAAGTACACCGTCGACTGTCTCACCTGACGTTGGAGATGTCGTAGACCCCTTCGGTGGCGTTGACGGCATCGCCTCCGTACAGCATGCTCGAGCCCATGGCACCGGAGACGGCCAGGCCGTACAGCGCCGGGCCGATGATGAACATGTTGAACAGCGTGCCCTGCGCGCACACCGCCTCGTCTGAGCCCTCACGCGAGCCCCTCGCGGCAGGCACCCGCCGTGCAGGCCGGTCCTGGAGGTGCCCGCTCCACATCCACAAACACACACATACACACACACACAAACATACACAAGCGCGCGCTGATTGGCAGACGGCTCCGCCAGCGGGGCTGGACACGTAGCGGCATGACCCGCGTGGTGGGGGTCTGTAATCGGCCGCAGCGAAAGCGAAACATGACGCTGCCGTGTCGACGACCGTACGGCGCGTGAGAAACACTGTCACGTGCAACACCCCGCGGTGGCTATAATTTGGATGATGGGTGCGGCAACATGTCGCCATTGCATGCATCCATGAGGCGTGAAGAAGGCAACACCCGGATCTATGATGGCAATGGGTACGAATCCCAGGTGTGTGTTCGGGCTTGTGCGCCTTCATTCATTTCTTTTCGCGCAACCTTGATTAGTGCATTATTTGGGCTGCGTGAGCGGTAGATGCATAAGCACACCGTGATCATTCGCGTGCTTATGCGCATATTACGTGTTCAGTAGCGATCATGTTTGCGTGCATGCCAGCAAGTGCGTGTGCGCGCGTGTACGCGTGTGCGTGCGTGCGTGCGTGCGTGCGTGCGTGCGTGTATGAATGTGCGTGCGTGCATGGCGTGCTGTGGTGCGTGCGTGCGTGTATGCGTGCGTGCGTGCGTGCGTGCGTGCGTGCGTGCGTGCGTGCGCGCGCGCGCGCAGGCGTGCGTGCGCGTGCTTTCGGCACTGCCGCGTTACGCACCACGACGGCGAAGAGCAGGACGGTGCCGAGGTTGTCAAGGAAGGTGCGGTCGTGCAGCGAGTAGGAGGCCTCCAGCACGATCCTGCAACGGCGGCGGGCAGCTGACGGTCACGGACCGCACGGCACACGGCCGGGCCTCCGGGTCGGGTCGGCACCAAGGCCGCCCCGGCGGGGACAGGTGGCCGCTCAGCTGGTGGCTGCCCGTCACGGCGACCGGCTGGGCACCCCGGAGACGGGGCCGGTCAGCTCGAGATCAGTCCCGGGCGGCGGCGGGGTACATCGGCGGCCGTTATGACCACTCTCGCCGAGTGTTTGCGGCCGAGGCGGCAGTCTGCTCGTCCGTCTCCTGCCAGTGGGCGACGTGCGGATGTACCGTCCGCCGTCTATCAGCGGCGAGCGCCGCCTATCTGAGCGGCGCCGCCGGCCGGCGACAGCCCCGCTCTCACTGGAGAGCGGCCCGGCCGCGGCAGACTCGGTCAGCCGCAGTGACGGTCGCCGTCGGGGTGTCGCCCTCGAAGTCCAAGCATGGCACACTCCCGCGGCGCGCCGGGCCGACAGAACGTTAGGTGACAAGATATAACGGACCGCTCCCAAAAGGCAGGTGAAGAAGAGGGCACACAAAAGCCGTCAGTGGCGTCAGTCCCATCTGCCATTTCATCAGGTGCCTGTGGATGATGCGCTATGTCGGTATTCAGACGCGAAATAAGGCAAAATGCATAGGCTGCATTCAGCAGTTGTCAAATGAACGTGTAATTTCACTTCATTCGGTACCCAAATGCTTGTTTAAAGAAATTCACTACATTGGCCCATGCGCTTTAAAACCCCGTGTATACGAACTGCGCACATGAACGGTGAAACGATGGGCAAAAACGTCGAAGAAGAATTTGGGGCCGGATAGCTTCGGAGCAAAGTTCATTCACATGAGCAGGTGGAATGCTTGCGTCTTCAGAAGTCCACAGCTATATCGCACCCCTGTCGATAAGAGACGTTTCCGTGTTTGCCCGGACAAGGCTGGCGGAAGCTGGCCGGTTCTGGGCCGGCGGCCAGCCCACCTGGAATCGGCGGCTAGCCGCGCAACTGATTCTGTCACTAGGTGACGGCCAATGGCAAATGCAGGGTCGCAGAACTGGTTTCACTTTTGGGTGTGTAGTGAAAAATCACCGCTTTAGAGTTATTGGAGTTGTTTCATTATTGGAGTTATTGCTAAAAGTCAAGAAATGGTAGCACCGTGGCCCTCCTGGGCTACCTGTCATACCGAGACCGGCTCCGCCCTGGTAACACCGCCCCGAGCCGTGCTGGTGCTCGGGCGGGGCTCGCGGCAGGGGGACAGTATGGCTGACTCATGTCTCACGGATACCGCACACTCCCCGTGACGCCAGGTGTGAGGGTATCCGATGGGCCGTGAACGTGGATAGGAGGGAGGACGTGCGGCAGCGGCGGCCGGGTCATAGTTTTGCATGGTCCAGAGCATCCCAACGCACCACCTGGTGAAAAGGTGAGTCCGAGCCGTCCCCCAGCTGAACCGCTTGGCTGGCGGAGTCAGCAGCAGCCAGCACCGGCGCCGCTTCAGACACAGATGTCGCTACCACTGGCATTGTGTCAGTTTGTTACTTGCAATCATTTTATAAATTTATTTGGTGACTTTTTCTCTGAGGTAGACGAAAACGAGTGGGAGAACAGTTTCACGAATCCCAGTGCTGGAAACGTCTCGCCAGTACCGATAACAAAATTTGACCATTCCCAGCAGCGGAGCAGCGCCCAATCCGCCTCATCCCAACGGAGGACAACCGGGAGTTCAACGAGGAAACCGCCTCGCGCCCGGCGCCGTACCGGAGACAGCTCTGCCGACCGGATCTGAGCTGGAGGGACTTCCCGAACACATCTGCCCCGGCCGTCAAACGGCAGGTGGCCGGCGTAATGCCGGCGACTCGCCAGGGCCATCGAACTTTGGAGCGGCCCCAACGTCACGGCCGGCTGTGCAAAACAGGTTGCGGCAACTCATTACTGGGGGGTTGAAGACTGAAGTTTATCGCGTGCGTTCATGACGCAGGCTATTTGGACCTCCAGCTGGGCATGCATGATCAGGCAGCGTTGACGAGCAATGAAAACCGAACTGACGCACGTCAGTCGGAGGAGAGCTTCAGCACGTCCTGCCTTTCGCTCGACGGAAAGGTAATTATCATCAGGCTGTGGATACTTTCAGGGGGAGGGGAGGCGGTCAATGTCGGAATAAAACGTCACAAAACATGATAAATGTAAAAGGCAAGCATACGGAAATGCACGACGTTCAGCGCGGTATTTGATTTTGGAGTTTCGCCTGACATCTCCAGCAATCCCACAACCGGTTATATTACCCTATCTAAAGGGGCCCTCCTAAGCGAGAGCGGATAATACAATACATCTTACCTACGCTGACACGGAATGCCTGTGCATTGGCTGCAACGACCCACGCGCAACAAACGCAAATATCTCACCGTTGGTAGGCGTTGCACGCGCACATACATGCAATATTATGCGCTGCTCATTCTACCCTCCCCTCCCCACTTGAGGCCTCGCCTCAGGGAGCAGCACAGAACCAGCGCCAGAGGCCGCAGGGCAGACGACATCGGGTAGGCTCGTGATCCAAGCTATCGGGGCTCGTCAGCGACTGGGCGGCCCGACTGGATGCGGTCAGCAGATCGTGGCGTCTGGCCTCCTCCGCGCCGCTGGAGACCGCGGCGCCCGACATAGCGTCATCGAGAGACTCGCGCGAGAAAAATGTCGGTCGAGTGGGTCTGATCAAGTTCGCGCATATCCGCATGTTTGTCTAGTGTTTGACAGCATACGGCACACAACCTCTGCCTAGCACCGCAATTATTAAACGACCGGATACAGTGCAAACCTTTTGAGGGAGCAACACCGATATGCAATGGCCACATATTCCCTACGGCATCGATGGTACCACGACACACCTCATCTTAAACGTGATGATACAACTACGACGTTCAGGAGAGCACTGTGACCGCCTGCGCGAGGCCCAGCGGACAGGGACCGCGCTGGGGTCGTGATCGGTCGACCCGAGGTCACGATCGGGTCAGGTCAGGCGCTCCACTCACGGCGGCAGCAGCACCAGGAAGAACAGCTCCGAGTCGAACTTGGGGAAGAAGCCGGCGAACTCGTCCTCACAGTCGAGCACCCGTACTGAGGTGTTGACGAAGGCGATGGCCGGGAACGTCTCCCCGTCGAGCCTGCGGCAGATGACAAGGTCAGGCTGCGCCTCCCGCGGACCGCGCCGGCTCGCGGAGCACGCCACTGAGGCGGGCGGCCCAGCACCGAACGGCAGGCGGACGGCCGACACTGGCAGCTGGGCAAGTGACGGCGCACGTCTGCGCGCGCAGCGGGGCACGCTCCAAACTACCTGCCAAACTGCCACCCTCGCGACGACGACGACGGCGCTCCCGGTCGACAGGCATGGAAGGTGTGTCGCACTGCCATGCACATCCAAAGCGGTAGGGGGCTCGTAAGAATCGGATAATCGTCGAGCGTGGGCTGTTAACGGATATCGACATTCTGGTTACTTTCAGCATTATTCTGGACCAGCATTATCATGATATAAGCTGGGAAATCCTGTTTTAAAGGCATGCAAAAATGGCAAAACAAGTGTAACACCACAAACTGAAAACCGATTGGCGGAACCGACCGAACAGGAAATCAAGAACATGAACAAGAACAGGGACAGGGACAGAAACAGGAACAGAAACAGAAACAGAAAGAGAAACAGGAACGCGAATAGGACCAAGTATAGGAACAGGAACAGGGACAAGAATAGGAACAGAACCGGGAACAAGACGGAACCGACCGACGGGAGAGGGAACATTAAAGCCTGAAAAATTTTACTGCACACGAAGGAATGTGAGACGCAGCCTACACATTTCCAACACAATAAAAACACAAATTATCATGATCGCTACCATGTGCTCCTTGCTGGCATGAGAAATTGCGGCGCAGGGGTAGCGCTACCTTCGATGTGCTATCTATGTGTGCTATCTATATGTGCTAAATGATAGTGTTATCATCGTCTGCTCAGACGACGCTCAGGAACCAACTGGCCCGGCCACTCTTCGCGAAACAAAGGCACGGAACTGATGTTTTTGCAGGGTGCCATTTTCCGGAGTCGGTCACGTGAGGCAATGCCTTAAGGTGTTGCCTTATACTAGTCGTGAGTGCACCCGGCTGACGTTCAACACCAGACCCCTGATCTTACGCCACAGCCACCTCGCGGAGGACCCGTGAGCCAGTGTTGCAGCTCGGGAGCTGGCTTGCCGTCAAGGGGACGCCCATTGAGACAACTGATACAAATCTGAGCCCACTCCGAGCTGACACCGGCAGGGCGTCCCCGAGCCCGACCCGAGTGGAACTAACAAGACCAACAAGACAGGGCCCAGGCCGACCAGCGGTCACCTACTGCAGACGTTGCTCCGCCCGCTGAGCTGCGCCTCGCCGGCCGTCTCTCCTCCAACAGCGTACAATGCGGGCCTCCCCCACCCAGCGTGACCCCTCCCCTGCCCCACACCAGCGGGCGCGCGCAGCCTCGCGACCGCAGGGGAAGGCTTGGCCCGCTTTGGCCGGCGTCTGCAGAGGATGCGGCGGTTTTGTTAGTGCGCCGCCTCACGGACGGACGGAGGGACGGACGGGGCACACAGCACGCGTCACGCGGCACGCCTTACGCGACGCGCTCTCCCGGCGCCAGGTAACCGGGCAGGAACCAGAACACCCTGCGACGGATGGGCTCCGGTTACCACACAACACCTACAGACAGGGGCGAAGCTTCACAAGTTAGGTTTGAGTTGGGGGAAGGGGGCTGAGCACAGACAAATGCCTAAATCTGCACCAAAATAGTCAAAAACGGGGAACGGTCCCCGACTTTGGCCCACTTCCTCCTACAAATTTGGGTGACAAGAGTAGCTAGCCCCCCTCCAAATGATTAAGAAACTTCACCCCTGCCTACACAGATATGATTATACATTATAGTCAGACATGATAACAGCGAGTGATCATCGAGTGATCATCTTGCGAACACCCATTGAGCTGATCCCCCTCAGCGCGCACCCGTGGCATTCCATGAGCACACCCTGGCCGCCCGGGCAGGCGTCATGACCTTGACGGTTCCTGCTAGCCGGTTACTACCCCCTCCCCCTCCCCCCTCCCCCATCGCCACTCCGCGCGTGCTGCTGACAGAGCTGGAGTTCGCTGCAGTTGGTGCTATCGCAGCCGCCGGAACTGCCAGCCCAGATCGCCGGCCTGGTCGACGCGCGGAAATCCCGCGCAGGCGGGAGAGAGTGTGTGGCTTGGAGCCGCACAAGGCAGCCCCTCTGTCGCAATGATGCCGTGGAATCATTCGCTGGGAGTTCTTACTCTGGCAACAGTCAACCCCATCATGCTAGGAAGTGCTGGTTAAACGACGTTTTCGAGTAAGCAATGGCTGTATTGGTAAAACTTGACCATGAATGGCCGTGAGCACAGCCTGAAACGTGGCGATGGTCATTATAACCAACACTTCCTTTACGTCACTGAACCAGTACCTCCTACATTCCTGACGGGCGATTATTACCAGCGGCGCTCCCATCTAACTATTTTGAAAACCGGGAGTTAAGAGTCCTTTTGGTGTCGCCAGCAATGAAAGCAGTAACAAAAACAACAAAAATCCACCGGCCCAGTGCCGCCACCAGTCACTGACCTTGGTGCCGGGCCACGCGCAGCACGAGGTAATACCTCCCCAATCTCTACCCTGCCCCTTCCCACCCCGCCCCCTGCCGACACGCGCCGAACGAGTCGTGCGACCCCTGCAACCTGCCTGCTCAATGCAGAGCGCGCCCGGGAGCAGCGTGGCGCGCGGCGCACACGCAACCCCGGTCGGCCGACCGAGCCGGGCGCTCCGCTCCGCTCAGCCCTACCGCCCGACGCCCAGCGACGCCGACGACAGGCTCTGGCGCGAGGGGGAGCGGACGCCTGCCGTCGCCCCTCGTGCGGAGTGCCTGCGACCCGGGGATCTCGCTCCTTCTGGGGAGCAGGCGCGGTCCCCGCCGGCGGAGCTGTCGGCGCGGTCCCCGGCGGCAGCTCAGACGCCACCGGCTTAAGGACGGCGTCCTCCGGCCGGCGGCAGCTCAGACGCCGCCGGCCGGAGGACGCCGCCGGTCCGCTGGTCAGGCCATGACCGGGCGCCGGGCGCCGGTCAGCCCCCGCGACAGGCGACAGGCCACGCGGCCGGCGCGCAGCAACGCACGGCTTGTGAGCAACACCGGGAGCCGTGGCCGCAACGTGCAGGGTTCGACCCCTGGCTGCTGTGTATTACAGCGGGCCCAGCGCCGCACCCGGCCGCAGCACATGGCGCCAGCGGCGACCTTAGCACCTGCAGGTGTCGACCACACGCCCCTCTGACGCCGGTCCGAGCCAAGGGCTTAACAAACAGCCAGGCCACGTTCTGTTGACCAAACCGCGCCCGTCGTCTGGTCCTGCAGGCGCAGTACGGGTATCACACGGGCCGCCAGGCCGCGACGGCCACGGCACGTGAATCGCATACCGCTGACCGACCTGACAGTGCCCGTGATGTGGCTGTCCGCGTGACCTGACTGTGCCTGTGACGTGACTGTTTGCGTGACCTGACCGTGCCCGTGACGTGGCCGTCCGCGTGACCTGACCGTCCCGTGACGTGCCTGTCCGCGTGACCTGACCGTCCCGTGCCGTGGCTGTCCGCGTGACCTGACCGTTCCGTGACGTGCCTGTCCGCGTGACCTGACCGTCCCGTGCCGTGGCTGTCCGCGTCTCCGTTGACAAAACGCCGCGGCCGACCATCCATTCCGCTGACGAGCCTGCTGTTGACCCTGGCGACCCGGCGGTCTGGCGGAGGTCAGCCGGGGCGTGACACGGGGCCGGCGCTGGGGTCATGCCGATCAGGCCGCCGGCGACAGCGGGCGGCATCTGAACGCACCCGCGGCGCGGCAGTCGTGTGTATCGCGACCTTCGTCGTATCCACGGTTGTCTTGTGTACACTTAGTGTATGCAACTGGCTGTTCACAAGTTGTGCATATTGACGAGTAGCATGCTATCACTAGGGAAAAATCCTTTGATGTATTTACCCGGGCATTGCAGTGTTCACAACGTTCCGAAAGAAATAGCATTAATTTTGTTTCAGTCGTTCCTGTTGCCGTTAGTGCGTTCCCTCGATAGCCGTGGTTGTGACTGAGTTTAGAGACTTGACGCCAGGGTTTTGTGCCAACAGCAGCCCACTGTGTTCTATTTGCATGCTCATGGCTTCCTTCTTTGCTTGGGACGTTCTAAATGCCGGCAGTTTAGTTTTCCTAAGCAACCTTATGGCTTCCAGGTTTCCTGGCTTCCAGGCAGCGCCGGAAGATGATCAGAGGACAGAATGGAGAACGTTTTGCACGCACGCTTTTCATATGATGTTCTCTTAACACAGATACATGCCGCAGTCCAGGATATTCGGGGGACGCACGTGCCCGTCTTGTTTGCCGGTGGCGCCGTCTCTGGTAGCACCGACGGCGAGTTGATGGCCGCATGGCAGCAGGATCCATTTTAGGACCGAGCAAAAAAAGAGACTGACTCCATGCCCTACCCCCTCGCCCTACCTCGTGCAGGGTCCGTCCGCACGCAACCTCTCTGTCGCTGGACGACGCGGCTGGACAGCACCGGACCCGCGGGACGTGGCAAGGACCGCCGCCCCGGGCGGTGGCGGCTCTGGAGCGCTGCACACCCCAGACGAGTCCGGGTCCAGAACACGGAAGACAGACGCGACGACAGACGGCGGAACAGTTCCCACGAAGCAGCCGGGTCCGCTCGTGACGTGCACAGGCGTGACCAGACGCCCTCAGCGGCAGCGCTGTGGCGTTCATGCGCCGCTAGTGCAGGGCCCGCGAGGCCACGTGAGAGGCACGGTTGTGGGGAGCGCGGGGCGGCGGCGGGGCGTTCCCAGACTCGGAGGAAGCCCGGCCGCCGGCGCTCGTCACCGACTCACCGGTGACGGATGTGGTACGTGATGATGCCGACGAAGATGCCCAGGATGATGAGCAGGCTGAAATGGGAGGCGTGGCCGCGTCACAGCCGACAGAGACACCTGCATCAGGTGCGCGAAACATGTGTATATGTGGCGGTAGTTTGGAAGGGATATAGGCAAATCAGTACAAAATAGGGACAGGAAAATATGACCAACATCATTTCTCGCATCAGCACTTTGAACTAAGCATTCATAGTTATATGATAAATTATGTACAACAATCCACAGTACTTTATGAGCTACCTATAGTGGTGTTCATGGTAATAAAACATGATCTACCATGGAAACACACATGCGATGTGAGCACAACACAACACAACAACAACGATGCGAACACAACGATGCGAGCACTCACCATGATTCTGGTAATTTAGATGACAGAAAGTGCGCATGATGAAAGCCTGTAAAGAAATCATAAGGTAGTAAGAACAGTGAAAAACATCCGACAAAAAGAGAAAAACAACGCCTTTTTAACACGCATTTTTGGCGCGCGGTTAAAGACATTCCATAGGAAGTTTATCATCCATTTGACCAGACCCACGCTAAAAATCCATCAGACCACTGCGGCAAACCCACCCAAAGCGCCAACAACGATGACAGTCCAGTGCAAGTGGCTCGGAAAACCCCAGTAACTTGAGTCAGCAGCGCCGGCACGTGGTTCACCACACGTGCTTCCCAACAACAACAATAGCATCAGCCAAACAGCCGCTTCTGTCGGTGCCCTCGCGGCCCTTTCCACCCACACGGCGGCCACGATAAGACGAGGCATGCCCGCGTTTAGACACACAGCGCTGGCCACTCCAGAGTCCAAGAGCGGAGCTGGAGATTAGGACACACTTGGCGGGGTGACAATACGGTTGTCAAGCGGCGGCCGCGCGACAGTCCGGGACCGCCCGTGGCAGTCTTAGGCGGGGATTCTTGGGGGATGAACAGCACGTGAGCCGTCGTCACGCAGCGGCCGCAGGTTCCTGGCCCCAGGCGGCTGTTGTTTTCTTCCTAAGCGCGAATTAGATGGCCAACGAGGCGCAGTGAGATTGCGAACAAGCACCCTCTGAGCCTGATGTCCTCGATGCCATAAACGATAAGTCACCGTCCTCGTAATGTGTTGTACTCATAAGGTGTACCTTAAGGTGTCCTCCTAATGTGTTGCACTCATAAGGTGTGCCTTAAGATGTCCTCGTAAGGTGTTGCAGATTCAAGATTTCCCCTTTTTGGTCGCTATCCGTTTCCGAGCAATAAATCCAAGGGAGAGTCTATTGAGTTACGTCACATACATGGCAAGACCCCGATGATTTTCTTAAGTGCAAGTTCAAGTTGCAGTCAAACAAGTTCAAAGTTGTAGCTCGAGCTGTAAAACCCCTAATATCGAAAATGCTTTTAGTAACGATGGTTATTTCCATCTCGAGTTGGCTCTCGGCCGTTTCCATTTATCATCATTATGCTTCAGGATAACATGTCGCCTATGTTGCTTTCAGCCACAACATGAAAGTCGCATTAAGCTTCCAATACGTTCCCGTTTCGTAAGCGACATTCGCGAAAGCATGAAAAACCGTCCAATCGACTAACAGTAAAACTGAAACGTCGCTAAATGACGGTATAAATGTAAATGAGTATACGTAAGTGTAAATACAAATATATTAATGTAAAGCTGAATGAGAACAAATACCCAATCACCATCAGCCTAATTCCCACGCATTTCGTTACGCCTTCATACTTGTGGGTCGAGCCTACCAGTTTCTGTTTGTTGCTTTCGAACTTATCCTGCTTCTCCTCTTGTCAGCGATCCGACAACGTACGAAAGCCATCCATCGATTGCTTGCTCCATGACTGGGTGTGCGCCCCGGACATCGAGGCTAGTGTCTCGTGACCGCCGTGCCCGTGACCGGGGGCTCGGCGCGCGGCCGGCGAGCCGGGCCGGGCCCTCACGTTGGGCTCCTGCACCGCCTCGTGACCGCGGTGGCCGTGACCGGCGGGTCAGAGCGCAGGAATGTGCGAGCCAGCGGCCAACTGCTGGATGACCGGCCGGGCCCGGCTCTCACGTTCGGCTCCTGCGGCGCCTCGTGACCGCGGTGGCCGTGACCGGCGGGTCAGAGCGCAGGACTGTGCGAGCCGGCGGCCAACTGCTGGATGGCCGGCCAGGCCGGGCTCTCATGTCGGGCTCGAGCAGCCCACCCCCCAGCCGACCGCTGGAAGAGCTGCCGGCGAACGGCGTTCGGCGGAGCCACTGAACATGACAACGCGGACACCTACGCGACTCCGTCCGGCTAGAGGTCAGAAAAGAAGATTGGATGCTGAGTAAGAAACGCTGGAATTTGGCCACGCACGCCGATGCTTCCTCGACGCACTGTACAGTTACGAGCGCTGCGTCATCTGACCCCGACTCCACGACAGTGTTCCGCCCAGTGCCGCTCACCAACCCGCCGTCCCGGGCGCGGCCGTCAGCCTGAGTCGCGGCCCGCCCAGGTCCCGCCGGCTGGTGTGGCGCGGCGCGGCGGAGGCCTACACCGCACAAGAATGCATGGCATGCCGGCCATGTGCGGCGCAGTAACACCAGAAATGTCAATGCACATACGCTGCGGATTTGGGTACCTCGAACCAGGCACAAGATCCCTGCTCATTTCAGCACATGGAGAGCCAATGTGCCGGGGCATTAGAACGTTGTCATTGCAATTTCAAGCGTTCCCGGCGTGTTGCGGGAAAGTGCCCGCAGCACATCAAAAATATTGGTTTTAGGCAAAAATGATGTGCAAATTCTGAGCACTGTCGCCTGAAGCGTGTGTCACTTGCACAGCAGATGGCTTTGTTTATCGTCTGGGCGGTGGCGGTGGCGGTGGCGGTGGCGGTGGCGGCGGCCGGGCCGGGCCGGGCTGGACCGGAGGTACAGTTCCGCCGGAGCTGGCGGTCGACTGGCCACCGATAAGCGCGTGCCGCCTCGGCGCCACACCGAGAACCGCTCGGCCGCCGCCGGCCCCGCCGATAGGAGCAACACGCCGGGAATGCGACTGGCGCGGCACGCAGGGCGATGGGGGAGGGTGTGCGCGTTACCCAGTGGGTCAGACAGGTTGTGTAATGCATACACTCTGTGAGGGGCTTGCGGATCAACGGGGCTGGACAACGAGCAGGCGCATTGAGCAGTACATGTGCGGGGGAAACGACGGCGGACCGCACAGAGCGAGTGCTGCGAACAGTTAAGTTGCGCATTTCGGGGGGGGGGGGGCGACCTCGCAGTGTCCGAGGCATGAGTGGTGTAGCGGTGAATACCTGAGCGATCCACGGCGGCGTGACGGCCCGCAGGGGAACAAGCACCAACACAACGGATGTCCGAGGGCGGAGAGCAGCAATGATCATAGCTTTGTCATAATTACAATCGTGCACTATTATTCGGTTGGCGTATGCATGGGCTGTTTGCTATGTTTGGTTGTTTGTTACAAACCCCTATCTGAGTTTCTAGGTTGTGCGTCCGAGCTTTGTTATGATGCGGGTCAGCAAGGGCAGCGACGCGACGCGCGGCTTCACGCGAAGTTGGGTATCGTCCAAGCCGCCCACGAGTGACCTGCACTGGACTGATACTTTAGTAGCTGGTTCACAGCTTGCAAGGGGCAACACACTCAGGGATGTGGATGTGTGGCACCAGGCAGAAATTTCCTTCGCCATCAAAACACCACGTTCAGCAGCCTACCGCGAAGAAGTGTACCCAACCGGAATGACTTGCGTCTAGATTTGTGATAAAGAGCACAAAAAACAAACGCTTGCATCACGACCACGTCTAATTAAAATCGGGCTCAGACGGCACAATTAGCTCGACGACTCTAGCAAAACGAACTGTTTCATCATTGTTTGACATCATACGGGCACGCTTTCTGAAGGCAGCAATATCGACCACACGTTGAGAGCCCCCGAATAAAATGAATCAAGAAAATCAGGGAAAACTGCAAGTGGGCAAACCAGTTGCACTCCAAGCCGGGCCTGGGCTGATAAAAATCAGTACGCCGTCAGCCCGATCGGGCGTCGGGCTGTCGGCGCCTTCTCGACCAGCAGTCAGCAGCGGTGCCCTGCTGACCCCGGCTCGGCCCGCCCCGGCCGTCGGCGGGGGCGAGCCGCCCGCCCGGCCAGCCGACAGACTGACCTAGCTTGGCCAGGCCGGCGATGACGATGAACAGCGTGATGGCGTAGTAGGTCTGCACCTCCGTCCAGCGCCAGGACGCCACGTGGATGCCGTGCTCTTCCTTGACCTCCTCGCGCTCCACGCAGTACTGGTACTTGGTGCCGTCACTGTCCGTGTGAGTGGCGACCAGCCGCTCCCGCTGCACGTGGCCCGTCTCTGCAGCGGTGGGCGGCCCGGCCGACCGGGCGTCAGCAGACAGCCACGGCACATCGCCGCGCTACTTTGCGCATCACGGTCCAGAATGGGGGTCCAGAACGCTGTCAGGCTCGAGGTGCACCATTCTGCATAGCATGTTCTGCCGGCATCAAAAGCAAGAGCAAGATCCACATGTGCTTCCCAATCAGCGCTACGGAGCTCCCGGGAGGCGGCAACGATATGGCGGTGCCGGTAGCGAAAGCGACAGCACTAAGAAAACGGTCATGCACAGAGACGACCACCACACAACAGCGCATAAAACGGCGCCGCCGGCGGCACAGACGGACGGCACTTGGCCGGCGCACAGAGGCAGCACCCGCACAGTCTTGCACCGCGCAGAGGCCCCTCTCGCGTGGGGGTGGTGGGCGGCATGTGAGCGGCGCGACGCTGTCTGGACCCGGCGGCAACGGGGCCCCAGCAGGCGGCAGCGGACGCGGCCGCCACGGAGGCAGACGACTGACCACGGGTTCATGCAGTCGAGGGATCACAGCCAAGGACAGGGAGCAGACAGCAGCACGAAAGCCGTCGCGCAGTTAGCCGTCCGTGACGGCGGCCATAGCCGGAATGTGGATGCCAAACAAAATCGACGCCCCTCAAGGCTGGACACGGACAGACCCCACTCGCCAACAGTGACCCAAAGCGTGCAGCATTCTGGTGTGAAGCTCATACGAGATGAAGCGAACGTAGCTCTAGTCGCGCAGCAGCGAGTCAGTAGAGCTCAGTTCGTGACCGGGACGTGCTTGGCTTTCGTGCGGTCGCCATTATGTTGCTTTCATGACGCTTTGCATGATAAGAGCCCGATGCTTCGGTTCATACGACACGTCAAACGACCGCAGATGTGCATCGTCGCGTCTGATTTCACGTAGTCAGTTATACGGGCACAGGCAAAGCAAGCTGGACAAGCCGCAGACAGACATGTGGTCAGAGCAGCACCGTCGGCGAAATGACAGCTTTGCTTTTTGCCGCGTCATTCTAAGTCCATGAGACTGGCACACAGCTCCCATCGACGGGGGCTGGAAAAAGACAGCTAGGCTTCCAGACGTGTAACAGCAGCATTTCCGTCTGAAATCGGCTGTGCCCTGATGATAATTCATGGGGAGAAAAGCTGGGCGAGGCTGTTTACATGAACCGCGAAGGTGTGGTATTCGATTACCACAAAGATAAACAATCACTAAGCACGAGATGCAACGATGGACTTTTCACGTAGAATGACTGAAGCAGTGCCTGTTTGACACGAGAAAGGAATTATGCACTGAAGCATGCATAAGGGACGGATAGACCCACGAATGGATATTCATGCCAGCCACCCCACACCCGGGCTACTGTTGCAGCATGAACACACGGCACGAGCTGGGCTGCAGACCAGCTAAACCATCCCCACAAAGTTAGCGGCAGCCCGTCTCCAGCTCCAGGCGGGCGACGCTCGGCGCCTCCAGCCCGCCTCCAGCCCCAGGCGGGCGGCGCTCGGCGCCTCCAGTCCGTCTCCAGCCCCCAGGCGGGCGGCGCTCGGGGCCTCCAGCCCGTCTCCAGCCCCAGGCGGGCGACGCTCGGCGCCTCCAGCCCGTCTCCAGCCCCAGGCGGGCGGCGCTCGGGGCCTCCAGTCCGTCTCCAGCCCCAGGCGGACGACGCTCGGCGCCTCCAGCCCGTCTCCAGCCCCAGGCGGACGGCAGCCAGCACTGCGCGTACTTACCGTCGCGCGCTTCTTTGGCGCTGGCCACCACGCTGCGGGCGGCGCGCAGACGCGCCAGCTGGGCGCCCAGCGCGGCCGGCGAGGCGGCCCAGCAGCCGGCCGGCACCAGCGCCGCCAGCGCCAGCGCCAGCAGCAGCAGCGGCGGGGGTCGCATGACGGCCGATCCTGCAGACGGAGGTCAGGCTCAGTTTCAGGGTCGGACGAGGGTGCACCGCGGACACAGTCACCGAGGAACGGAGTGGCACCTCACGGCCGGACAGAGGCGGCCTCGCGGATGAGAGGGCTTAAGACGGTCGTTCGGTAGGTCACAGAGTCGCATGCAACGTCAAACACCGCCCGACATTCCGCAGGTCGCAGACGGTTCGCAGAGTCCTAGCCTAGACAGCAGCCGTTGTCAGAGTAATCAGGAACCCACTCGACATCCCGCCTCAAAGCCGCACGTCGACGGCAGCACGCGCTAGGACATTCAGTCGGCGCTGCATCTGAGGGCGCGACGGACCAGGCCGGGCCCGGCGCCCATCCTACGCAGCTCGCCACAGCTGGCGGGTCCCGACCGGCGGGCACGCGGCCGGCGGGGCGGCCCATTCAGAGCCGGTCTGACGCCCCGCCCCTCCCCCTCCCCACACCCGCACCCACACAACTGGCACGCGTTACCGGCGGCGGGTACAGCTTTGTGCGCCACGTCAGCACGTCCCTCCCCACACCCCCACTACCCCAGTAATGAATAGTGGATAGCGTGCGGCAGCGCCTAACACGGCGAGATTAGGGATCATCACGCATGTCGACAATGGCGGCGTTTCGCGTCAGGTTTGCCGCCCATTTTCATGCTGGGAGCGGTGTAGTTTCCTTTTCGGTTGTGGAGGTCGGAAGAGGGTTCCACCTCGCATCCCAATTTCAAGAATAACGTGGATCAAATTCGGTGGAACACGTTTACGCGCTTCGGGGAAAGGTTTGGCAATCTCTCCCTTGTCAGCCCCTTCCCCCATTTATTTTGCGAAAGTACGCCACTCCACACAGTGCTCCAACCGGGCCAGTGGCACGTCACTGGCTGGATGAGCAGCACCCTCCGCGTCCGTCAGGCGGCGAGATCGTTTGGTCGGCACGTCGCTGGCTGGGTGAACAGCACCCTCCGCGTCCGTCAGGCGGGGAGATTGTTTGATCGGCACGTCACTGGCTGGGTGAGCAGCGCCCTTCGCATCCGTCAGGCGGAGAGATCGTTTGGTCAGCACGTCACTGGCTGGGTGAACAGCGCCCCTCCGCGTCTGTCAGGCGGCGAGATCGTTTGGTCGACACGTCACTGGCTGGGTGAACAGCACCCTCCGCGTCCGTCAGCCGGCGAGATCGTTTGGTCCGTGAGCATGAAAAAAGGCTGAACAATACCCGCCGCGACGTACACCGGTTGGCGGCATTCGTCGGGTCCTACCTTCGAAGCACGACACACTTGCGCAAAAGGAGCGTATGAACCTAGTGACACGCTATAAGATGCAAGATACACGAACACGGCCTGGGATTATTTTTACCACACGCGTTCGCCCATATATGGGCCGAGTCGGCATGCGCTGCATGGCAACTGCATGCGATGCGTGCAGCATGTGCGCGGTCATGTTAAAAACTGCGCCTTGCCGCGACATTCCACTAAAACCAGCACTGACACGTGGCGAGTAAAATGAAAGCAGGCTTAAAAGTAGTAATGCATGCGATAATATTTTTTTAAAAAAACGTTGTAAGGGTTGGCCGGCGAGCTCAGCCGCTGCGACCGCTGAACAGTATTCAATCATCAATAACCGAATCCTCCACTTCGGGACCACCCGGTCGGGCGGTATCGCTCCCCACATAGATACTCCGCCTGAAAGATATTATCTGCTGCATATTTGTCCAGCCGGAGAGGTAACGTCTTTTATGTGGCATATAGTCGAGATGGTAGCATCTTTTACATGGCTACGCAGCCAGGGCGGTAACATCTCTTACATGGTTATGTAGCCGGGGCGGTAGCACATCTTGCATGGCTATGTAGCCGGGGTGGTAACATCTATTACATGGCTATGAAGCCGGGGTGGCAACATCTCTTACATAGCTATGTAGTCGGGCGGTATCACTTCACACAAGCCCACCCCAGAGTACCACCCCGCTGGTGTTATCATATGTTGCATGGCTAACCACCCATGGCGGTGTCATCTGATGCAAGGAGATGACACCGCCATGGGCCCATCAAACCCCACGTTACTTCAGCTATCGCCAGACATCGTCAACAGAAACCGAACGCCTCTTCAAACAGAGCCGGCGCGCCAGCTGGAGCGCAGAGCCGACGCCAGCAAAGTCGTTTAGTTCCGGTTATTTGCCTGCATACGCTGCATGGGAAGCCAGCGCCGCCGGGGAAGACCACCTCGAGTGCAAGTCATGTCCCTCGCTATCCACTTGCATACATGCACATCTGGGACCGACTGCCGCCACGCAACTGACGTCAGGCCAGCGAGATCCATTTCGATCTGACCGATAGGCTGCGGCCATGCGACAGCCTTGGCCCACCGCCGCTCGCCGCCGATAGCGGTATCGCAGCCGAGAGAACAGGCGCCGAGTACGGGCGCCGAGCGGCAGCGGCAGCTCACGGCCCGCGGGCCGACCCGCGCCATTCGGCCGGGGGCGTGGCGCGCCACCACTGCCGGACGGCGCGTCGGCCGATCCGTCTCCCCCATCAATGTACGGCGTCTATACACGGCACCGAGCGGAACTCGGGTAATGCGTTTCGTCCGATCTGGTTCTCGATAAGCGCACGGTATCTGTAACAGGCCATCAAGTGCGACAGCGGTAACGGATATTCGCAGCACATTGGTCCATTGATGGCGACACAATGCACGCTGCATTAAGGTAAGCTATCAATCTTTTCAACCGGGCAGAATTTGAGGGTCCGCAAATTACGGCCGGCAAAAACACGGTAAAAACACCAGCATAGGTACTGAAAAATACAGTAAAAACACCAGCATAGGTACTGAAAAACACTAAAAACACCAGCATAGGTGCTGAAAAATCTGCATGCGTTATGCGAGCAGAGCCGATGGCAAATGGAGCCCACTAGGTCCACATGATTAGGACCAACACACCGCGAGAGCCTGTGGCGCTCGCGCCATGACGCTGCATGATGCGAAATGGCAAAGACGAAAACGAACAGGCACAAGCCGTCTGTTGCAGCGAAAGTGCTCGACTGCCAGCCCAGAGAACTGGGTTGCGCGGGAAAAAATGTGTTTAGAAAAACTATGACTACGAGCATAATTCTAAAAATGATACAAATTTATTTTAGAATCTTTCTCAGGACTCGCTCACAAGAATGCACCAAAATCCTCTAAAAGAAGCGAGAGGGCCGGGTGTTTGCCACACACTGCTTTCGTTTTTGCTCCATTATATGGGATCTGGAGATCGCTTGAGAAGGATTTCCAACGACACACATTTCTTGTGCAACGAGTCCTTGAAAGCAGCCACAGTCCAAAACTGAAACCAGACATGCGACGGGATACCCAGAGAAACGAAGCAATCCAATAATCCCATCGCAGTCAACGCAAATATGCTCTCAGCTCGATCATGGACGGAATGAGCGCAGTCACGGTTTGCCCGCTTGATCGATGCTAATCGGTATCTGGTTGTCATCTACAGACGCAGCCGGGGGTGGGGAGAGCGCTCACGAGGTTTTACCTCCCATCCCAACCCCACCCCCGGCCAGGGTCGGGTGCAGTTTTTCACTGAGATACAATGGAATGAGACTCATCAATCGCGTGATTATGAAAATTATTATCGCTTTGCTTTACATATGATCAGCTGTCCTAAGCGTGACACGTCGAACAGAGCAGCAGAACCTTCGTGATGAGGTTAATGAATAACCATGTGTTCACGCGGCAAACGGCTATAAAGGTACGGTCCTCGGTGTCCGGACAAAAAGCCGAATGGAAATATTTCAAAAATGTAACTACAAAAAGCCTGCACGGCTCGAGTCTAAGGACCAAAGGTAAAAATACAGGGAAGTCGACAGGGATTAAATTCGAAAGACAAAAGTCGAGTGATAAAAGATAAAAGGAATAAAGGTGAATCGCGAAAAAGTCGAAGGACAAAAAGGCGACAGGAATACAAGTTGAAAAGTCCAAGCGGAAACAGATTCACAGCGATAAAAGATTGGAAAGCACCTCATCAGTTGAGACCAAAACGCGGCTGGGAACCATAAACCACGTCCTGTGGTCTGTAATAGAACTGGAGGGGGCAAGGACACTAGGATATCACGTTCGCAAAAGGTGAGTGGGAGCCTTGAACATGTCCTGGTATTGCTGACGGTACCAGCGGGACCCAGGAAGCTATGTTTGTATTTGGAAAAGAACCAGAACCAGAAAAGAACCAGAACCAGAAAAGTGAGGGCCAGAAGCCAGCTTGCTGTGTTCGCGAAAAAAAAAACAAGAGGGCATTCTATTGGTTGTTTTGCGGTCGGCAACTTACCTTTTCATGCTAGGCGTCATATCATTAACACGCGCTCGGACGGGGGTGAATTGGCCTCCCGAAGGTTTTCCAGAATAATTTTCTAAACATGCGGCGCAGGGGCGCCGAACTTTGCAGAGCTGTATGCAGTTGAATGGCGGATCCTTCAGTATACAACTCACATGTACTGTACCTTGTAAGGTCGCTGACCTACGGCAGGCCGGCCAGGACAGGGGTGTCCACGAATGCAATTTCTAGGAAATTATTCAATGTGGTGCGGCACGGAGTGATAGAAGAAGCCACACATCCCTGAGATAGCTTGTTGAACAAATAGACAATTAATTGTAGCACAACGGAAGATTGGGTCAAGTATAAAGGTCAAACGGAGGTCACAACCTGCTTTTTACTGAAGACCGCGCTGCATGGGGTAGCATCTGAGGCACATTTCAATTCCTAAGTCAAGGATCGCAACAGATATATTCCATAGACTTCTTAATGGTCAGAGATGGTCACTGACAAAAATAGCTCAAATCGACCATTAGTTTTAGGAACATCCCGCCTCGCGCAACCCTTGACGTTTATTGACATTCCAAAATGAAACTAATTTCATAGATTTTTGGACACCGTGAATTTCTAAAGTAAAAC